TCGCCAGATGCCCTTGCCGATTCTGCTGAATATCCAACCCACATGTTGCCGCAAGGTTCTCTAGCCTTTCCATTCGGCTCATTTGGGGACCATTTTGGTGAAGGTAGGAACTGAATGATCTTACCACACGAAGGCGTTAACAAGCGTGTCCCACTCGAGTCCGATCCAAACCTGCTTCAGCTAAAGGGCGAGCTTGTTCACGAGGTTTAATACAAACTCGTTTTCTTCCTTGCTGTTGATTTTTACCAGATTTTCTACCAGTCCTTTGCAGTACGCCTTGATAACGGTACCGATATGATAGCAGTAGTCTTTAAATCGCACCCAGCCCTGTGGACAAGGAACGCCTGAAAAAGGTTAAAAGTGTTCTCAGATTGAAAAATAATAGGTTATTAAATTTCAAATAAAGGATGAACTGAAAAAATTGGCCTTAATCCAACTACCTGTGCGAGGGGAGGGGGGGGGGGGAGCCTATATAATGCCCTATACAGGAGGCCCCGCAGAAGAAGAGGACACTTTTTCCCCGGGGTTACTCCTGGGAATTCTAGCCTGGTGGGGATATACCGCCCGGTTCCTCAAATCCTGACCCGATTTCAGACCAAAAATGTAATTTTCCACCCCGTTTTCAGACCTGGCCTTTACGCAGAAATTATGTTATCATTACTTACCCGTTAGAGCGCAAACAAAAAATTATTCAAATCCATTTCGAATTCGCATATTTCTCTTTGTTGCTTACTCATTTGGAGTTGAAACGATAAATACGTTCTTACTCTCCGTAGTTCCCTCGAAAACCATACCCGATTCCAGACCAAAATGGGCAAGGTATACCCCCTTTTCAGACCAAAACGGCGCAAAAAACCCTACCCTATGGGATAGGGAACTGCCGATCATTTCGGTTTTGGTTAGCCCCAAAGGGCTGAGAGTGGTCTTGTGATTTAGGGTACCATTTGTCAAAAGAAGGTTTAAGAAGGTATACCATTTGTCAATAGAAGGTAAACGAAAGGGCTACTATTTCTGTCGATTTTTTTCGGTCGAAAATGTTATATAAAAGGGTTATTGCTTGGAACTCGCGGAGGAGCCTCCCCTCATAAAACTTTGTTGAGTACCCACGGGGCCACACGTTCTTTATGACGGTCGGGCAAATAAACAAATATTCGCTGAATATATATATGAAGAAGATTACATCATTGAAATCTTCGGACAGTTTCTTGTTTGATGTACTTACCAAGTTTTTCTTTAATTTCGCAGAGATTCCAGTATTGCGGCGTCAAAGGCACTTTTCTTGAACTGGACTGAACTATAAAATGAAAACCACATTTAGAAATGAAAAAAAATGAGACCGCCAATTTATATGAGGTTACTTGCGCCTCTAGTGATACCGAGTAGTTTACAACGCCAAGGAGTACATCGAGTATACATTGAGTACCATGACCACCAAAATGAGATTTTAAAAGTAGCTTTTTTGCCAATTTTTGCTTTTGATTTTGTCTCTTCGATTTTCTTGGGAAGATAACGGCTGAAGAACCAAAAAATAGAATTTAAAGGGACTTGTTCACGATAATGCGCATGTGTGAGTTCTGACAGTAGCTGATTGTTTTCAACCAATCGGAAGCGAGTTAGATGCACGCAAGTAAATTTACAAAATTCAAATTAATTGTTCGCGACGCGAGTATTTCCGGGCATTTGGTTTGATTTTGTTTACCCCCATAATTCAATTTTATTCTTTGCTACTCCTCAGACATATGTTGCAGCCGATAAGAATAAGATTTACAGCCCTGTCCTGCTTTGAAACAAACATTTACCAACGTGTATTTTTACGAGGTCGTACCCACGCTAACAAAACAGTCACCGATCGGCAAACAAAATTTGTAAACAAACATCTTATTACTGTTCTCTCAGTTCGCCTTATATAAACCCAGAAATACCTACAAATAGCGCCGGACCGGTGACAAAACACACAACGTATGAGTATAAAGATTATCCTTAATTGAGCATAAATTTCAATTGCTTATCAGCAAATGAACAAATTCATTCGCGTTGCATCGGGTCAGTGTTCAGCAAAACAAATGTTATCGAGTAGCACACATAAAGAAACTAGATTATGAACAGAATATTCAGGCAATAATTTATTTTAAAACATCAATTCTTAAACATATACGATCGTAAAGCAAAGATACAAGGAACATTTCAAGTGTACCAGATCGGTGAAGATCGCGCGGCCTGTTGCGGTATAACTACAGGTCGGAGTCAAAAATCAAATCAAAGTTGAACGAACTCATGCCTTTAACCACTTTCCAAGTGTCGTGTATTCTTTTCGTATGCCACACACTACTCCTAGAACCATACCAGATCGATAGGCTAAGCTTCTCTATCTCCAGAGACTCTTGAGAACGTCCTGTTGCCGGACGGCCACGATGCTCTTCTCAACCTCCATGATCAAAACATTATTTTTTGCGTCTTCTTAAAACGTAACCAGTCAAACGACACAACCACACGTTAATCACCACTACCGAAGTATAACTAGACTAGCCAAAGCGACGGATGTCCGAATAAAACGAAGGATTTTCAATGATTGTACCGGTAATGGCGATTTCGAATTTAGTGTTGACCCAACAAATTTATTCTGAAGAGACAAACGGAGCGCATGCGCATTATCGTGAACCAGTCCCTTTAAGAAAATCCAAATCTGAGGGTAAATTACTCAAAATTTCCGATGGGAAAATCAAACATTTTTACACCATTCTGGCGAAAAAACTAGAAAATATGGGCTGCCATTTTGGGCGATGCATTTGTACTTATTTCAGTCTCTCGATTAAGCTTATTTCGCTACAGGCTGTGGTAGGTCCTTCTACGAGGTCAAGGAATATTTGAGCGTTTATCACCAGCGAAAGAAGTCCTCGATGTTCACTGAGGATTTACCAAAAGTGACCTTACTTTTAATCTCCCGTCCGAAATTTTGTAGGGAGTTTTGGCTTAATGGTAAGCACACCTGGGTATCAATTCTTGATGGAGATATTTACCAAGTTGTAGTAGCTACAAAGCCCAGCGACTGGGACAAGGGCAATGACTGACAAATATTACAGGTAAGAAATGAATAACAGGACAAGAGATCGATCAAAAAATGAGTAGCATTAAGAACAGAGTGTTCTATCTGATGATGAACCTTTGCTTGTGTTTACGTACCAAGTCAGTAATCATTCAATGCTTCTCAAGGCTGTCAGCAAAGCGGTGTCGCTGACATTTCTTTTGGGATTTTTGCCAGACTGAACTGTAAAAGAATTACGACCATGTTACCTTCAAAAAAAATATCGTCAAAAGTTCTTACGTATTCTTGCATTAGGAAGCTCATAACACCTTGATCGAGCCCTTAGGTGGAGCCAGTAGCCTGAGATTACGCCCTCTCCCTATTATCCTTCTCGACTCATCCGCTCTTTAAAAAAACACCTGATCCCAGTTTTTAAGATCAGAAGCGACCACGGTAAGTACTTCTGCGTTCACAGGCTAGTACGATTGTAACAAAAGAATTTCAGACATATTTGCTGTTTTCAGAATTGTCACTGAACCAACTACTTAAAATCTGGGACGAAAGCACACTTAATTGTCAGGTCACACAATCTTCGTGCGTAAGAGTCTCTTTACCGAATAGGCACCGCCATCTTTGCAGGTCCATCAGAAACTATTTAAGGGGCTGAATCACAACTGACGTAGTTCATTGGGTTAATATTGCAAATAACGCGCCTTTGCTCGCCAAGGAACTTGACGTTAGAGGGGATTTTACTTGTAAATGACTGGCAAATTGAAAATCACGGTTTTGTATCGAACAAACTTCTCCCACAGTATTATGTCAAACGTGTCAAACATCAAAAATGAACTTTG